ACAAATCCAATGATAATAGCAGTCTGATGCAATATCCAACAGAGACCAAAATGTTCTACACTCACAATAATAGATTTGCTGCCTTAAAACAAAACAAAAAACAAAGACTTGTAAAGCGCATGGGGTCCAAACAAAGGAATGAGGATCAAAATACCTCAATAATACCAGTTGAGCATGTGGAGCTTTTGGTACATTTGTTGTTTGTTAAGTGCAAATATCTTGTAAGGCAGTACCAGATGCCATCACTCAAAAGGCTGAAGTAGTACAGCCAATACACTGAGGGTGAGACATCCCTAGAGCTCTCAACATGTTCATGCCATTCAAGTCATGATTAAGTATAGTCTATTTGAAGCATCTATGGTTTGAGGAATAAGGATAAGGAACAGATTTTCAAGCATCTCTAGATTTCAAACTATCCAAAGTTGTTAGAAATACAAGAGAAATAGATCTGTCAAATTCTAAACAAGGTTTTGAATCTTAAGCTTTGGTCTATAGCTACCTCGCTGCTGAGCCTGGACCGTCCTTGAGGAAATAAACCCTGCCTTTTCAATCTCAGGTACCTAAACACAGAAATTAGGCAACATAAATGGCTTGGGATAGGCCAGCACATCTCTGTTTCTTAAAGTAGTACCAAGGCACATATTCAGGGTTACTCCTGCGCTGTCCATACTGCTTAATAACAAGGCCTGGCTCTACAGACACAGGAGCAAGTGGGCAGGGTTTATTTTCTAGGCAGAGAGCCCAGGCTTAGCAGGGACTAAGTATAGACAAGCCCTGAGTAGGACATGATCCAAGGCAACATTTAGAATCTGTTAAATTTGCACTATCTAACTGTGAGCTGTGCCACCCCTGGTGTGGCAGCAGGAAGTGGAATCTGGGGGACAGAAGGGGAGCAGGGGAAGAGACACTCAGACTTGTAGGGAGAAAATTCAGGAAGCCAAGGAGGTAACAACAGCGGGAGTCCATGGGTCAACTGTGGGCCATTATCTGGACAGCTCTCTATTAAATGATGGGGAGACCCTAAAGCTCAAAAAATACCAGGAAAGCTATAACAAATATATCAGCTAAAAAGACTTTTATGTTCTTTTTTGTTTTTAACATTCCATTAATATAAAGTAAGATTTAATGGAAGCTCACAGTTTATTTCCATGACTAAAGAAACATCAGTACTATGGTGTTGTCAGTTATTTCATGACCCACATTTTTTAAAATAATGTTTTGGCTAAAATGATAGAAAGGAAAGATTCATTACTCACTGAACATACATTTTGCTACTAGATACCAAAGTAATGTTTTCTAATTAATGAAAAAAAATTAAAATACTATACTAACAGATCATGTTCTATAACATTCAATTTCTATATTACAATATCTACTGTAAATAAAAATTAAGTATCAATGCTCAATAATGGAAAAACTGAGCAAGTTATTTGAGTATTACTAACTTGGTAAGTCTAGTTCATTTCATAAGAGAGATGAGTTAACAGTGTGGAAATAAAGGTTACCAAAAATCAGATCCAACACTCTCTTTCAAAAGAATGAGAGAAAGCAAACTATTTGTAAAATATTTTTCATTGACTGCTTTGTGGTAACCACAACCCCACACACCTTACTTCTATTCATCATTCCTAAATTATACTATATGTGCCTAATCAGAGTTAGAACCTTGTTCAGTACCTATCCACCCAGTAATTAGACACAGCTATTCTTTTACAACATTTCATGTTTTTATCTAGTATAAAATAGTTATAAAGAAATTACTGGATATAACATAATAAGCAGCTAATATCTTGTTTCAAATATTTCTGCCAGGGGTGCACCAATAGAGATTTGGGAGCCAATACTAATAGACAACTTTTAAAGCCTTTCGGTGGATACCTATCCAATTTCTGATACAGCTGCATCCAGGTGGTAAGTCTGCTATGGTGGAAGGGGAGGGGGGAGAGAAGGGATGTCAGGGGGCAGATCAACACCCCCCACGGTGACGGAGGGAGTGGGGCAGGGGCTGGGACAGACATTGGCCAGCCAGGGCAGGGCACAGGACAGAGTCGCAGCTTGTCCAGGGGACACAGGGGAGTGCTCTGGCCACTGTGTGCACCCCAGGAGGGCATGGGAGGAGTGTGCGCTACCTGGATCTGCACAGGGATGGATGGGTGGGCTACAGCTGCAGGTTGGAGCCAGGCTCTTCTCTGCAGAGGATGGGTTCAGGGTGGGCAACGGCAGCGCTGGGAAGGGGTTATGGGGGGGCTGCAGCCACCCCAAATTTTGCCATAGCCCTCCTCCAACCCCTCCTCGCAATGCTACCGCCTGCTTGACACAGCTTCGGCTCTTCCCAGAGCACTGGTGGAGGCGGGGGTTGAGCTGGGGCTGTGCCAGGAAGATGGTGGCAGCGCGGGGGGGGGGGGGAATGCTATGGAAAAATTTGGAGTGGCTTCAACCCCCCACCCCATAGCCCACTCCCAGTGCCACTGCCACCTGCCCCAAGCCCAGCTCCCACCAAGAAGAGTCCAGAGCAGCCCCAGCTGCAGCCTGCAGCTGCAGCCCACCTGCCCCACCACATGCAGATCCGGGGCGCAGCCCCCCCTGGGATGAGTCAGAGCTCCAACCTGCACCTGCCTACCGCAGGCCCTGTCCCACTCCCTCTTTCACTGTTGGGGGCGTTGATCTTTCCCCCCCCACACCCCCCTTCTACCACAATGGACTTACCAGCTGCACACAGCTCTCCAAGCTGCCAGGCTGTGTTCCTCACTGCCTATGTGCTGCGCTGCAGCTGCACACACACACGCACGAGCATTTAATGACCAGATTATCAGCCATATTGGGCCCATTTCCAATACAGCCAATTTTCTTTATACTGGTGCTGATTCAATATTGGACTGAAGTATTGGTGCACCTCTAATTTCTACACATTCTTATCACAGTGAGGAAAACCTTTCCTTATAAACTACTAAACATGATGGTTACCAATCATAAGCAGGCAATTCTTTAACGTAACTGATTTCTTGTCTATAGACTTCCCCCCAAAAAAGTCTCCCTATTGTTTTCCACTTGGCAACAGTAACTAGAGACTGAATTCTACCACTCTGAGATGCAGTGGGATGGCATCACCAAATACTTACTAGAAGCTTAATCACCACATGGTATCAAACTTGGTTTTTTGTATTTTCCTCTGTAGGCACTATATGAGGATAAATCTGCCCACCAAATTAGAAAAAAAAACAATTTCCCTGTGGCTGTCAAGCAATCTTTGGACCATGCCTTGTACAGCAATAACTATATGACAGTTCTGCTTCTGTGGTTTATTTTTACGCCTTTCATATGTCATACACAAAGCATGGTGCCTTGGCTTCCTATCTGAATCACACATGCCAAAATTCACGCATGTTAAAATACTACTATGTCATTTACTATATGCTAGCTAAAGAGTCACAATGAAAATGAACTCCGTTCTTTGGAGGAGTTCCACAAGTTGCTCTGGGTCTGGGCAACAACCACTGCTGGACCTAATGCATATTTCACAGAACATTGCTCAACTCAATTATTAACTGCTCTGAGAACTTGCTTAAGAAATTGTGACTTAAAAAAATGACAGTAGCCTTAAAAGTAAACAATGCTGGTATCACCCATGAAGATCTCTCAAGTACTGGTTAGGCTTGCATTCTCTTGCTAAACCTAACAAAATTAGAGCATATGCTTGGAGAGCATCTTTCATTAAGTCTTACACCATTAATTAAGCAGCCCAAGTTGCCCAGTGGTTCTCAACCTTTTCAGACTCAAGGAACCCTTCCGTAGACTAAAGGGACCTTCAACAACTTGTGTGAATTGAGCAGCATCCCTGTTCAAAACCTTAAGTTATTCATTACTGTACAATGCTTGCTTACCTCCTGGCAGGGGCGTAGTCTGAGGCAAGGAACAGCCAGGCAGGGACCGAGATGAGTCTGTGCTTATCTGCTCCTACTACCTTCAAAGGATCTCACGGCGGGAGTGTGGACACCCAAGATGAGACTCACTGAACTAGGCAGTAAAACAGATTGGCAGGGGAAAGACACCAACGCTCTTCTTCCTCCAGCCCTGAGATCAGATCCTTTTGCTATTTCCACAGCACCGAAACACTGAATCTACCTCCTTGGAGGTTTCTAAGGTCCAAAGTGACAAAGCCCTGGCTGGGATGATCTACTTGGGGATGGTCCTGCTTTGAGCAGGGGGTTTAGACTATCTGACCACCTGAGGTCCATTCCAGCTCTCATTTTTTATTAATCAAAATCCTGAATAAAGAGAACAGGCGGGCCTCTTCCATCCACAGAAGGAGGGTGGGCAAAAGAGCAGGCAGGGAAGACAGGCAGGCAAGGCAGGCACTATCGTGGAGTCACAGGGAAGAGGAGCTAGGAGGAATCTCCAGATTTCATCTAGTCCAAGCCTCTGCCTCAGGCAGGGCCCTCCCTACCCCTCCAGCCACCCAGTACAAATCCAGTATCTCAACTTCAAATTGCAGCAAAATACTTTTAGAAAAAAACTCTCACTAGGAAGTCAGTGAAGAGATACCCAGGGTGACCATGGGCTCTCCATCCTCAGAGGTTTTGCAGACCCAGGTAAACACAGCCCTGGCTGGGATGATGGAGCAGGACCTCTGGAGGTCCCTCCCGACCCTCGTTTTCTACAACTCCACGATCCCCTCTCTCCTGTTACTGTCACTCTGCACACAGCACAACAACCTCAGCCTGCCCCAGGTCAAACAGGGCAGGAGAGAGAGGGTCAGAGAGGCAAGGCGAGTTCCCAGAATTTGGGGAAACCCCGCGCGGCCCCTTTAAGAGCCACCCCCCCGACGGATACAACGGGGCGGCGGCTGCCTCTCCTCTCCCCGGCGCCTGGACGCTGAGGAGCCGCGCGGGGCTCCGGCTATCGGAGGGCGACCTTGAAAGCATCATCCCGTCAGGAGGGCCCTTGGCTGGGCCCTGGGGGCTTGAGTGCCTCCCACCCAGCGGTGTCAGGGCGCCGCTTACCTGAGGCGCGGCCGCCTCGCCGCTCCGCCCGGCCCGAGACAGCGCGGGGCCCGCCCCGAGGGAGCGCGGGAGCCGGGCTGGTCCCAGCAGCGGTTAAAGCCGCATGGCGACGGTTGCTTTCAAACCGGCCTCAGGGTGCCACGCGAGAGGGGGATCGAAGCGACAGCGGCGATTCCTCCAGGCGCGCGGGTGTCACCGGCTGTGAGGCTCCGTGCGCATGCGCGCGCGGTGCCACCCGCTGACCATAAGGGCGGGCGGTGCCGCTGACGGGAGGGGGTAGGGGCGCATGCGCGTCCGGTGCTGGGCGGCGGTTGTTGACGGGGGCAGGAGCGTGTCTGTCCCGCCCGTAGCTTACAGGCTGGAGTGTCTGCCCCGGCCCCGCTCAGTAGGAGCCGGCGGGACAGCGGAGCTGGGGGAGTCACGGGGCGGGGCAGGGTGTCCTTCTCAGGGCCCGCCTGGATCCCCAGAGGTGATCTCAGCATGAGGCGGGCTGCGGGGGGCCCCTAAAACTCAGCGCCTGCCAGTTAGTCATGCTCATGCCAGCTGGGCCGCGCGCCCTGCCAGCCACTGAGTCATTCGTGTCTGCCTCAGAGACTGGCTGAGGAATGGCTGTTTCTCCTGCTGTCGTGGGGAGTTCCCTCCAGGTGCAGGCAGAGGCGGGGGTTCATCTGGAGCCTTCCGCCCACGGGAAAAAAGCCTTTATTCTCTACGTTTTTTCCTGCCACATGGAAACACTCACAGCCTGGGTGCCTGTGTGGGACTACCCACCCTTGGCTTCCCTGCCTGAGCCTTGATCTTTGTTTCTCCCCTGCCAAACAGCACTGTGGGCAAACAGACCAGGCAGGAAGCTCTGCACAACCTTGAGAGTGGGGGTTGGGGGAGAAGGGAGGGAAGAGAAATATCATCAGATGTATACATTAGAGCCTGATCCAATGCTCAGGTGTTCGCAGGAATCTTTCCATCCCCCTTTCATGGACTTTGGATAAGGCCCAGGTGCATTTTCCTTTTGCTTTCATTCTTAGATGCACCTAAAGCAGGATATAGCAGAGTTTAAACATCCTATTCAAAAACTGATTTAAAGGAAACCTTGCCTACCCACCATCTAGCCACGAAAGGGCCTAAAAGTCACGATGCAGTTTCCTGATCAACCCAAGCATTCCCTGGAGTCGCATTTCTCAACCCATGGGCTGTGACTCAAAAGTGGGTCGCAAAATATATGAAAGGGTCATGAACAAACTTTAAAAATGAATTCTCACTTAAAGGAGACAAATGTGGGGAACTGAATTTTCCCTGCGAGGGACTGCTTGGCCCCCCCCTGCCCCATGAGGCAGGGGGGGCAGGGTGCTGTTTTCAACTTAAACTACTGTGTTTACTAGATCAGGACTGGCCATTGATATGTACAAATGGGTCCTGGTACAAAGAAGGTTGAGGACCACTGCAGAGAAGACCGTTGCAGTTTGATACAGGTCCAAGCAGGTAGACACCTACTTCTACCCAGGCCTAGTCCAGCACTAGGCAGACACACTGATACCTCAACTTTAATGAGATTGTAAAGCCATCCAGAGGGCACCCTTTGTTGCTGCTCTTAAGCACGCTGCAGACAGCTTTTGAAAGCAGAAACTGGAGAAAACCCCAAGGGGTAACTCCACTGCTTCATTTTCAGGTTTTGGACATGTAGAGTGAGAGTGGGTGAGCAGTGCATGCTGATGAGATCACCACCCAAGCAGTAAAGTAGGGTTACCGTATGTCTGGGTTTTCCCAGACATGTCTTCTTGTTGAGTCCTCCAATTTCCATCCTCCATTTTTTTTAAATCTGAAGCACTGTTTTGCTTTGATCCTCTGGTGGGAGCAGGGGGAGGGCGATTGGAGGCAGGGTACCACGTGTGTCTGCGTGTGCACACACGGCCGACATACAGCCAGGCAAGGTGGTGGGAGCAGCCTCAGCAGCCAAATGCAGGTAAATCTGTGGGGGCAGAGGTTGGAGGGGCAGGGTTTGGGGGCTGTCCAGAGGGGGGTGGTGTGTGTGTGCATATGTGTGTCAGTGGTGTGCAGAGGGGATGGGTGTGTGAGGAGGGCAGATGCCTGGCAGTGCAGGAGGTTGGTGTCCAGGAGCTGGGGCTGTGCCAGCGGGGGAAGGGAGGCACTTTGAGGGCAGCGGGGAGCTCCATGGCTGGGCCAGCAACACAGAAGCCAATGCCCATGCTCACAGGGGTGGGGCAGCTGAGAGATGCTGCCTTGCGGGGTGGGAAAAGCAGAGCCATGGCCCAACTGCCTGGCGTGGCGCAGGAGCCCCAGCCCAGGGCAAGAAGTGCTACAGGCTTCCCGTCTTCTTCCCTCCACCCCACACTGGGGCCAGACTTGCTTTGCTGCTGCCCAAGTGAATTGGAGTCGCCGCGCTCCAGCCTGGTTGGGATGGGGGCAGCTGGGGCCTGCTCCAGCAGGGCTGGGAGGAGGGGGGGGGCCGCAGATTAGGAGGGAGGGGCACTGACAGGGATGAGGGGGGCTGTGGCTTGGGAGTGAAGGCATGGGAGGGGTGGGGGGCTTGTGGCTTGGGAGTGTGAGGCACTGGGGGGCTGCGTGTCAGGAGTGAAGGGCACCAGCAGGAATGGTGGGGCTGCGGGTTGGGAGTAAGGGGCACTGGAAGGGCCAGGGGACTGCAAGTTGGGACTGAGGGTCACCAGCATAGCCTGGGGGAGCAAGAGGCTGTGGGTTAGAAGTGAGGTGTAGCCCTGATGCATCCTCTTTTTTGGAAATGGAAATCTGGTAGAAACATAGCATTAGTTTTGAAGAGCCAGTTCTAGTAGATGTGTATGTAGCACACATAACATGCTGACAGGACTGAGCCCTTTACAAAATATGGTATAATTAGACCTGTTCTACATGTTAAATATGGCCAATAAAGGAGGAAGAGGAAAGTGCCTCTTTCATACAGCAGGCTTGTGGTTGCTTACAGCACTCATCCAGGAGTTGGGAAGCTAAGGAGAAGGTTCACACCTATATTATACTCCCCTCTCCCAGGACATTACCTTAACCACGATTGGCTATAACCTAAATTGTATGGGGATATTTTCTACCTCTCCTGAAGCTGCGTCCCTTTGCTGAAAGGAATGCAAAATTTTGGGGACCAAAAAAAAGAGCAAAAAAATGGGAAACCTAATGAAAAGGGGAATCCAGGGTTCTAGTCCCTGGTTTCAGGGACGCTTGGCTCCTCAGCAGATGGAAGTGCTCCCTACAACTTAAAGCTAAGATGAAGGCTTTTTACAATGTGGGGGGGGGGGGGTGGGGGG